TGTCGGACGACGACACTAGCCTGGCATCAGGGAGCCTCTCCCTCCGCAGCCTGAGCACCACACAAAACATAAACAGGAAGAGTCCAGGGAAGAAGCCTCTTCCTCCGTCTCCAAAGTAACGGCAGCCCTAGCGGGCGATGCACTGCAAACACCCACGGGTCTGTAAACATCTGAGTCACCCTGGTGGCGGTAAGCAGCCAGCTCTACCCGGTTCTTGCGTCCTCGCCTTGCAGGGGACCGACTTTTCAGCAAAGAGTACCACAGGAGCTGCCCTTCACACGCAGGGAAAACCTGGTACTGTCGTGCCAGCACGTGACGTGATTTCTAACACCTGCTAACAAGTCCATGTTAATCCACTCCCTTTCGGCCGATCATTCTGGCTAAAGGCTCCCACCTGCCAGGCAGCAAGATGAAAGGTGTAATCTCTTGTTCCGTGACTGGCCACACTGCTGGCCCAAAGCAGCCTAGCTAACCAGCACTTTGGTTCATTCATTCCACATTACTGACCGAGAACCTCTGCTCTAGAACTCTGGGAGTCGGGCAGGGGACTCTCGTGCATGTCTCCAGGTTCCCAAACCTCTCTTTCTGCAGGAACAGCCTGTGTACAATCCATCCATCCCCCAAACACATCCCAGGCCGTGGCTAAGCCATACCAGCTGCTCCAAAGCATCCAGGACTCCGCAAGAAGATTTACACGATAAATTAATGACACCAAAGCTCTTCTACCCACAACTATAACGCACTCCAGTGAGACACCAGGTCTCAAGTGAAGAATGTAAGACTATGACACACTGCATGCTTCCAAAAGCACGCACACACATTCGTTTATGCAATGATGCCATAAACAACTTTAGCCACGACGGAATGCCTAAATTAAAGTGACGATGGGTGGAAAGTCATATATTTGCTAACTGTTCCAAATCCATATTGAAAGATTTAATGAGACTAAAATTAAGCATATTTGGAAATGCCGAGCTTTTCTACTCCGCAAGGAGTAGCCATCAGCACAGCACTGGGGCAGTCTGGACTGAATCCCACATCTGCCATTTACAAGCTGTAGAGCCTGGGGTAATATTAATAAATTACTGAACCTTTCCTAAGCTTCCTTTCCTCGTCCATAAAATGGGATCAGTAATAGTGTCTACCTCATGAGCCTGTTTCAAGGATAAATGAGGTAACAAACAGTGCATTGCCCATGGCAAGCCCTCAATCAGTGTTAGCTGCCCTGTCGTTGTCACCACCCTACCAGTTCAGCACAAGTTGCCACCATCGTCAATCAGGTGTACGGTCACAGTTCACTGGTTCAGAACATTTACATACTGTCATAATACATAGTGGTATTTCACCGGGAAATCCAGGAAAATCAGATCTTTCCAGTAACTTCTAGCCTGGTAAAGGAAAACTCTCCTCTCCTGAGACATTCCGCCAAATATAATTTTCCAACCCCTTATGTGTGCAGCACGTTTCATATTTGTACCTCATCATAAACCCAAAAGGACTGGGCTGCTTATCACCTCCCGTGCAGGTCCCCCTAGGTCCACCTACAACACAGGACCCTGCGGTCACTAAAGCAGGTATTACTCCCATTGTAAAGAAGAGCAAGTGACGTATCAAAGGGGTTCGATGTCTTCCAACTCAGTGCCCATTCTTGATCCACTAATTCAAGAAATATTGATCAGCTTACTATGAGCTAGGGACAGAAGCCCCCAAAGACTTTATGGGTGAAAACTGAATAGAGGAAGAAAGCATAAAGTGTCTGATGGGAGAGGCACCCTTCATATATAGTGGTGAGTACATATAAGAGAAGGACGTGCTGCCATGAACAAAGCTGCGAGAGGACTTGATTTGGTCTGAGGGAGGGACCAAAAAGGACTTTCCACATGAAGGGACATCTAAGCTGAGAACTAAAGGACTAAGGGGAGTTAGCCACCTGGAAGGGAAGGTCTTTGAAGCCAATGACTATCACCTGAAATGCCCCAGAGGCAAATGAATGCACAGTGTTTAAAGCACTTCCAGTAGCTGAGTTTGTCCAGTGTGCACCCTGAGGGACGTGGCTGGAGAAAGGGCGGCTCAGAGGAGACCCAGGAAGCTACCAGACAACTTTGGGGGCAATGGGACATAACACTGCACAACTGGAACTGCACTTTAAAAACCTCCTTCTGGCTACAGTGAGAGCAGTAATCAGGCAAGAACGGAGAGCTGCCTGAAGGAAAGTAAAAGTGTGGATGAAAGGGTATTAAGTGAAGGGTTGGTAGAAGAAAGGAGTCACCAGCTTTGACTGCAGAAGCTTGGAGGTAGGGGTGTGTGTAGGGTCCTTGTCAGGCAGGCTTAAAGCTTCTGTGAATTATCCAAGAAGCCGAAAGTGGTTAGATTTCGGGGCCTGGAATGCAGGCGAGAAACCACAGCTGGAGACAGAGATTTGGAAGTTATGTGAACATTTACATGAAAAGTGAGTTATGGGTGTAATTGAAATTCCCCTGAGAGACAGAGTTAATGTTTCTAGGACAGAAACCTGATGGGTGTTCTGGCAACAGTGAGAAAACCCAGGACAGTGTAGTGTTCAACACTTAGGGTGGAAAATGCTTTTAGGAAGAACTGTCAATCAGGTGAAATACTGCAGTGGGGCCAGTCAAGGAAAAGTAAAAAAAAAAAAAAAAGTCCACTGGACTCAACAATGAGGTCACAAGGGATGTGGGTTTGGTGACAAAGGAGGTCGGCTGGGGGTAAATGCGAGTGGTCAAGCGCAGATGGCAAGATGCTTGCTTGGCTGTTTAAAGGGAAGAGAAAAGACACAGTGTCAGAGATTTGAAGTTTGGGGTTTAAGTGCAAGAGAGGTGACACAAGTATTCTGATAGGAGGGGAGAAGAACAGAATGGGAAGAGATACAAATGCATCTGTAGCTGGGATGTGTGGAAGTGGAGGGTGCCGGTCTGATGCAGCACAGCAGAACTCATGGATTGGTTTCTGACTCACGTTCCACATTCTTTTCATTTTCCCAGCTTATAAAGACATTTCTTTTCTTCCCTCCCCCACCCTCCGTTAGTTCTTTTGGGAGGCTGAGTGAACAGAATTGAAACTGTAATCTAATCTGATGTGCCTCATTCCAAAAGGGAAGTGCCTCAACTTCTTCAAAGCTAATCCTAAAATCCGACTAAGCCCACCACTTCCTCAGTGACGAATGGCTGCATCTAACATAAGTATACGCCCCATGCACAGCAGCCTGCACACGCGTCCAGTTCAGGGTGGGCTCCATGCTTCAGGCCAAAGAAAATAGGTTAAGTACACGTAAGTGTTACATTTGATCTTACATTCTAGATCCAATAGTTGTCAGATGTGCAAGATGAAGATAGTTTAGGAAAAAATAAATATAGGAACAGAAAGAATTCTGAACTGTCGGTTACAGAAATCTCAAATGCATAAGAAATGAATGGATTGAACTGTTAGATAACTAAGGCGTGCTCCTGTTTTAACCTTTGTGAAGTCCAGTTTGGGCGCCAAGAAAAGACTTCTCCTAGAATCACCACATCAGACTCTGAAAGAACTACTGGTAGTGAATTTACACAGTCAGTTTATCAAGTATTGACCCTCAAGAACTACCCAATATTTACAATGAGCATTGGAAGAGGCTATGGCCTATTTGGGGAGCCTGAAGTTGAGATGACTAAACAAGCAATGGGTTACTAAAGCCATATATATTCCATAAATAACAATTTTGATATGGAGAGATACTGAATTAAATACAGTTAGACCAAATATAACAAAAACAGCTTTTTGCAATTAATGATCATTGTGATTAATGTTGAAAGGCAAGTTTATATCATTTAGATGGTAGCAAGGTAAAACACGTCAGCTTCACGAGTAGCTCAAACAAATAGTACAAATTAGATTAAAGCACTTAATGTAACAAACTCCTCAAGGATCTAGTATATACTAATTACAATCCAATTCTTATGCTCTCTTTACATACGTTCCCCAAGGATAACTATTTGGTTTTATTGGCTTAAGTTAAAGCAATAAAATGGTTCCTTTAAAAGTGTAACGTCTCTGAAAACACTAATCAATCTTAGTATCAGTAAAAGTGGAACAAGTGGTATTATGTGCCTCGGGATGTGATACAAACAGAATACAGCACCTATAACATATTCTTACCTAAAAAAGTTCAACCTGAATCTAACCAAATTTCTAGGCATTTTTAGAGAAAGAGAAACAAGTTAAACAGTGTCAAAAGGAAGCCATTACTCAAATCCAGGGAACAATCTATAGGGCATATAATCCAGTTTTTCCAACAACTCAATAGCACATTAAAAAATAAAATAAAATTGTCATAGAATAAGAGAGATGTAAGTTATACAACAACCAAATGTCATGCAAACTCTTTCTAGAGTCTGCCCAGAACAAACCAATTTTAAGATGATCATAATAATATTAAGAAATAATCTTGCAAGTTTTATTAAGTGTAATAATGGGCATTTTTAAAAATTCCTTGTTAGAGATCTGTACTTATTATAAAAAGAGAAAAATATACATATGGCAACTTAGAAATTGCAGTGATTTTGAGTTAAAAGAGCTTCCCCTAGAAGGTCCCTCTTCCCACTACCAAGCTCAGGAAATGATCACATAGTCATAAAAATGCTACTAGCAGTTTCAAAACATCCACTTTCTTCCTCCCCTGCTTTCTTCCTTCCTTGTCATGGGGCTAAGAGGTAATTGAAACGTTTTTAACTTGGGTTTACCTGTGTTCTCAGTATCCTCACAGGTGTGGCAGATAGCTCACTGCCAGCCCTGGGGTGAGCAAGTAAAGGCAATTATTAGCAAAGTCACAGAACAGGGTAGGAAGGACTAGGAAATGCCCACTTTACAGATAAAGAAACAGGCTCAGAAACACTGAGTGAGGTTTGAGGTCACCCTATTAATACTGATGGAGCCAGGTCGTGGAGGTCTGTGAGTCCAGCGCTCTTCCTTACCCTGAGGGGGGAAGGGGACGCGGCATTCACTCTTACCTTTCCGTGCTCCTTTCTCACGTGGGAAATGTAAACATCTCTTTGCGTGAACAGGCGGTCACACTCCCAACACGTCCACCCAGGACTGGCCACTTTCTTGGGTTCCACTGATTTCTTCACAGGGGATGGAGATTTCTTTTCCAATTTCTCTTTCCCGTTCATGGACCTGGTATCCTCTTTGTTTTGATTTGCTGAATTCTGAGTTGTAGGCTTAATGCTCAAAGGCAAATTTATACCCAAGTTTGGAGGCCCTTCAATGCTTTTCAATGTTCCGTGCATAGACTACATTTTATAAAAAGAAAGGAAAGACCTATCACAAGTCACACCGCTAAAAGAAAGTACAGGTGGACTATCTTAATACATTAGACATTTAAATGCGATTTTATATTCATTCAGAAATATTTCTTAATATATCAAGAAGAAAACCTAAGCAAAACATCTGCTTTAAAAAAGGTGAAGGAAAAAAAAAAAAAGGTGAAGAAATATTATTTGAGACTCATAGATAGAGAGAACAAAACTGAGGGTTACCGGAAACCCTCAGGGGGGCTGGATGAAAAAGGTGAAGGGATTAAGAAGTACAAATTGGTAGTTACAAAATAGTCATGGGGATGTAAAGTACAGCACAGGGAATATAGTCAATAATATTGTAATAAATACATATGGTGTCAGGTGAGTATTAGACTTATTGAGGGGATCACTTCATATAAATGTCTAACCACTATGCTGCACACCTGAAACGAATATAAAATAATATTGAATGTCAACTATAATTGAAAAAAAATTTTAAAGTATTATTTAAATGTCAACTATAATTTAAAAAATAAATTTTAAAAGAGATAAAGAAATATTAACTTTTATGGTTGCTTTTAGATATGCATTTCTAGTTCCACATTATTTTTAAAAACTTATTTGCTTGTGCCATTTTAAAATTCTTTAAAGAAAGCCTTCTGTACTGAATCCGAATTATTGCTGGCACTCTATCCTTACCCAGATTACCGCAGTGAGTCCTCTTGGCAACAGACCGTTTCTGGGGAAGAACAACTTATTTTCATATCTACCTGGAAACATTTCAATAAGGTAACATATTGGTAGGTGCTCAAGATGCTCAGAATGTCTGTAGCAGTTTGGATTTTTGCTGGGGTTTTGGGCGGTGATTTTGATGTCTCGACACCCTGTGCTAATCCATCCCTTACTGACAGCGCCCAGACTTGTGAACTATACAGAGTAGGTGCTCAAAAAGCCTTTTGAAACTGCTGAGCTGTTTATTCTCATTAACCTCAACAGCTATCTTCAACTTAAACGCACAGGATGTCAAATTCTATTGGGGTAAACTTAGCACACTTTGCTTCTAGAGACTGGCTTGCTTTGGTTTTTGTTTTGTTTGTGTTCTAGAAGTATGGAGTCCAAAAAGAAAGAGAAGAAAAGAAAGAAAGAAAAGAAAAGAAAAGAAAAAAACACACAACACACGGAAGCAAAAAAGTCTATGCCTCAATGTACAATTTGTGTTTGAATCGGGCCTTCTAGATCCGTACTCAGGCCTGCAGCTCGCCTCTGTGTTACTGAGCCTACAGAAAGACACGACAGGACACCCGTTTCCGGAGGTGCATCAGCACGTCGAGGCCTCCCAGGCCACAGAGACTCGGACACAAAGACCAACTCCATGTTCCTTCCTGAGTGCTCGAGTGACAGTGTCCTCTCCACCACTTTCTCACGGTCAGGTCTTCTCTGAACAGTACCAAGAAGTAGCCAACCTTCGATACTGGGTTACCCCAGAGGGGAGTATGGGGGTTCTAGAGTTTTCTCATGAGCAGAGGTTACAGGTCTACCCTATGAAAAGGGCCTGAGCTCCATGTCCAATGTTCCTTTGCAAAGAGAAAGTCTGGGGCGAGACATGATGTCTTGACAGCCAGAAAGTGGGCTCTGGCTTCCTTTCCACCATGTGTTTAAACTGTTTTGCAAATCAGAAGCCACATTTTGACCATTAAAACCCCCCGAAAAACAAAACCCCAAAACTTCTAATAAGCTTTCCCTAAGTTTCTAGGAAAATACATATTTACTAACTAAAAAGTTGAGGGTAAAGCATTAAAGTATTCTTTTATAAGATAACCTTATTGTGTGAGAGAAATTACAGGAAAGCAGCAAAAAACTCTGCTGTGACAAGAGAGAGGGAAGGAATGGGTGCTAAGGTGAGAATTTCTAACTTAGTCATTTTATTTTCATACTGTTCAGTAAAAATAAGATTATTAAAAACAAATGTTTTTTAACAAGTGAAATACAGATTCATTATTTTAGAATTGATTTTCCCACATACACTCAGCACAGGAAACACCAAGATTACCAGTCTGTTCATTTAACTAAGATGGGACTAGGTTTGCTCTTTAAACTGGCCATTTTGTGTAATATATTTAAAAAAAGAAAAAATTTAAGAGACTGCGTTCATGATAATATTGGGTCTGTTGTTGTTTTTTTTTAAGTGAAATCACTTTAATCTCTGAGAGCAATGGATACAATCTCTGAGAGCGGATGGATATTATCACCTAATCACACAGGAATCAAGTTGCTTAGCCTATCACAGTGGATGGCTAAGAGGCTAGGACTAAGCTGTCCTTAGCGAGCTTAAAAGGCTGCAAAGAGATTTAAATCGCCCCTTTGGGGTTGCAGAGTGGGTTATCCAAACTGGACATTTATTCATTTCAGTAACTGAACACCCACCAGGTGACAGACACTGTGCTGTATGTACCCTGACCATCTCACAGTCAATTTACCTGAAAAGAAAGAAAAAAAAGACTAAAGATCCAGGGGCATCACTGAACTGCTTACGTAATTTTTAAGGGAAAAACCTTCATTTTCTAAATACACCAATATTTATAGAAATTACACAATTTGTCAGAGTCCCTATTTCTGAATCCTAAACAAAACCAACTGCTCAAAAAAGTAAACTTCACTGTCATCATTTTCACATGCAGGAAAAAACCCCCAAAATGCTCTATTATTCTCTTAATGTCAGTGCATGCATTTGTTACTTTGCGCTGATCTTTCATGGCATGCAGATCAGGACTGGGGCGTAACAAGCATCCCTCGGTCAAGTAAGAGGAGGATGTCAACACGTAATTGCTCTTGACCCACGGCTAGCACCCACTGTCATCTGCGGCTCAGCCTTGATGTATCGCCCACGAATGGATCTGGAATTCACGGAAAGGACAGGGGAGATCAGCACGCACCTTGATATGGTCCATCATGAGTTGCTTCTGTGCATATAAAAGGGAACAGTCTGGACACTTGAAAACAGACACCTTCTGGTTTTCGATGTGTTGGTCAAAGTGACGATACAGCAGGGTTTGCAGGGTGAACACAGTGTCACACATGGAACACTTATATATTATTCTGCAACAGAGAAGCGCATGCAAGTGTCAGACGACCCTCTTCTCTCCAGCCACAGGAACTGCAACTGCAATTTTTTATTTCACCTCAAGAATTCAGGAGGCAGAAGCAGGGGGAACACATAAACACCATAAAAAGAACAAAACAGTTTAGCTTTGAAACAAATTTTTGAAGGCCGTGAGGATGGCTCAGGTGTGGATCAATCTTAACATCGTGGGTTAAGATGCATTTACCACCCACACTTGCTTAGAAGTCTAAATCAATGACCATTTTGAGACTTACAGACCTGCAACTGACACGTTTCTATAAGGTCTTCACTTGTTAGTTACCTTAAAACCCAGCAAAAGCACCCTTGATTCTTTTGGGTTTTTCCTTTTTTTTTTTTTCCCTCAGGTTTGTTTTTAAGATCAGACAAAAAACATAATTCAAGGGTAGTCCCCTAACTTGAAAAAGATTTTGGTTTAATGAACTAAGTGGGCCCACTCAACTCCTATAAGGCACAAACTGTTACTTGCTCCAAGTTTTCTTTTAGACTTAGTAGCAATTTTGCACTTAAATATCAACATGTGTTCTTAACACAGAAAGCCCTGCAGAAAAGAAAAGCCGTATTTCAACATCGGAATGCCTATTGTGCTTTAAATGGTTTAAAATACTCTGTCCTTGGCAAACCCTTCCCGTACCGAACATGTTCCTACCAAGCAGCCTCCTTAAGTTAGTTCTGCAGATCTGAACCCTGAGAACAGAATCCTTTCTATCCATCACCTTCCACTGAAGCTCAGGAGAGTGTCGTCTGCAGGAGTGAAAGGTCCTACACTCCCAGCTACACCCTTCGCCTGCAGTGAACTTGACAGGTGACGTGTGAGCACATCTGTCCACATCTGCCCCTTGACGTATTCGTGTGCGATACATCAAGGCTGAGCTGCAGATGACAATAACCGTCCCAGGTCATCCTGCTCCTTAGGACAGGCCCCAGAAGACCTGTGTGTCCTTAGAAGAGGAGTGAGAAGAGGCAAAAAGAAGCGGAGGGAGCAGCTTAGGGAAATGACAGAGAAACACCGACGGAAGAGGAAAGTCAGAGATGAAAACGGAAAAGTTGGGATTTCATTTGCTATTTCTGCAGCGAAGCTAAAGAAAAGAATGCCTCTTGGATCCACTTGTCTTTCCTCCCGGGGTCTTCTTAAGAGAGTACTTCTCATATACCCTCAAAGCTCACCTCATTTCTCTGTCAAAACATTACAGATTTGACTTGTTTTTCTTTTTTACACATACGATTTATAAATTTAATTGGAGTGACACGTTTTTACAGGGTTTTGACATGTTAGTTACTTTGGCACAGAGCACAAGCACCCTTGATTGGGACGTGGGTATTTTTTAAGATCTGACAAAGTTTTACAGGACTTCACCAGACAGCTCAAAGGTGGTACAGTAATGATGTGTCATCATTAACTTTACCAGGTGCGACAAAGACGTTCATTTCCTTACTGTTTGAAATAGCTTAGATTTGTAAATAGTCTAGTAATATAAGTAATTCGATAAGAGCAACTATGTAAAAAAGTTTTTTAAATAATGTTGCAGACATATACCAATGACATGGTAAGATTTTCATGAAAATTAAAACCACATGTAACAAGACAGATGTATGATGTGACCACAATTTTAAAAGGCATAGAAAAGAAACAGAAGGCATATAACCGTCATCATCTCCACTGAATATATGCATTCCTTTTATTATTCTGCTTGTCTATATTTCCCGATTTTTCTTTAATTAGCATACAGCAATCAGAAAATAAGAATAGCCTCCAGAAAAAAACTAAGATTTACTGGTTAAGCTAAGAATGTTTTCAGGATTCTTGTCTTACGTTTTCCGAAATAACTATTTCATGAAGAATGGCACGGTTCATTTTATTCATGCTACATTCCTTGGGAGTAGGGTTCTGTTTGTTTGGATTTGTTGCCTTTACTTAATATTATTAGCAAAGATAGTATAAAGCAGCAAAGAATCTTTTTACTGAGGCAATTTTCTGAGGACCAGGTTAGCAGCATAACAGCGGAATTCCGCCCCACAAACAGCTAACAAATATAAAGGGAAATGGTGATTTTTTACAGGGGAGAAGTCTGGCAGAAGTCTGACTAGATGATGGAGGTTGGTAACATCACCGCTGCAAGGACAGGTAGGCACTGCATGTCCCCAATGTGACACAATGTGGAGATTCCAGCCAAAAGCACATGTCCCAAGTCCAGCTCTGAGGGAGCAGTGACAGACCCGGGGAGGGTCATCCTCGTTATGAAAGGCCTGTATCATTTGTTGGATAGCCAAAGACATGAGAGGGGACAGGCTGAGCGGCTGTTCCAGATGGGAGACCACGGACGAGAGAGTGCAATTAAATGTAAAACGTACTCCTGGATAGAATTCTGGACCAGACATTTCTCAAATGACACTGTCTCAACCATTGGAGAAATTTTAATGGGCTCTATGGATTGGACGGGAATGTAATCAACACTGATTCATGATTGGGAGGCCAGAGGGTGGTGATGCACACGAGTGTCCTTTATGGGAGCAGAGGCAGAACACACGCAAATATTTATGGCATGATGCCCATGCTTCCTAAATAGGAGAAAGAGAGAGAGAGAGTGAAATGATGGAGCAAAAGGACATGCTGACACCTGGGGAATCTGGGTGAAGGGGAAACAAGAGTTCTCTAGAAAGTTCTTCCAATTTTTCTGTAGGATAGAAACTATTTAAAACAACAACAAAAAAAAGGAAAAAAGAAAAAACCCACTGGTGCTAACGTGAAAACAAAGCCCAAATAAAGGTACCATGAACCTCACAGGCATAGGGACAGTGTACAGAGTATGAAGACAGAGCAAACTGTCCAGCGACAATGGGAAACCACAGGGAGCTTGGCCGGGCAGAGGAGTGAGACCAGTTTGTACAGACCTAGTCCATGGCGGGGACAGGACGGGACGGGATGGGACACAGGGAGGAGACAGTGAGAAAGTGAGTGTGCTAGGTTCCCAGGGGTGTGGGGATCGCAAAGCCAAATGTTTGGCTTAATCCTGGATGTATGATCGAATGAATGACAGGGTAACTAGACTGTAACAAAGGAGGGAAAGAGACCGGAGGGGGGGCAGCAGGGGAGGAAGGAAAGAAGAAATAGAAAGCTAAAGCCCGATACCCACATCAGGTCCAACTTACAGCAAACTCTCCAGAACAGAGTGCTCCCCTTGACACAGATATAGAAACAAATGAACAAAGGATTCTAAGCTCTGAAATCCCAAACGTCCTCCATCACCACCACCACCACCACCACCGGCTGAAGCTAACAAGGTGTAAAGCACCATCCTGAGCATCATCAATGCCCACACCTCCGTTAGGGGAGTTCACACTACCGCCACTTCACAGATGGGACCGAGACTCGGAGGTTAGGCAACGTGCTTGACGCCATGCCGTGTAAGTGTCAGGTTCAAGGTCAGCTTCGTCCAACTCCCAGGTCCTCTACCGTGCTGCTACTGTAACTGTGCACCTCTTTTATTTCTTAGGAACTTGTTCAAAAACTCTGTCTCTTATATGATTCTTAACTTTGGAGTTCTCATTTGTCCACTTATATACATTTAGAAGTGGCAAATGCAAGGAAGGCACAAAGCAGCAAAAGGAACCGCTATTCATCAGATGTCAAGGAAAATATAAAAACAGACACGAAACTGTATCACCATAAAATCCAGTAACGGACACTAAAAATGATCTCAAGTTGTCCAGAAAAGACTAACGGGTATTCAAAGTTTCCTTTTACATGGCGAGGAAACATGCCTGAGCATACACTGGGAAACAAGGAACACAGTACTAGAAGGGTGCCTGGCACACAGTACCACCACATAAATGCTTGTTAAATACAAATCTGGGATCGTGCTTTTCAAGTTGAGCAAGGGGACTGCAGGGCTTTATGGGTATTTTTCAGACTTTCATCCAGTCTCTAAAGAAGGTGGGGAAATCATATTGAGCTTTAAAAATGAACGTAAATCATTTGCATAATGTTTACTTATTTGCATACACCCTCTGTCAACCCCATACTGCTAGGAGAGTTCAGCGCCTGAGGTGCTTTTGAAGTGGGGGCTGCTGATTTATTTGGGGCTAACATAAACAGAACAGAGATGGATTTCATGTCAAAAGGGAGTTTTGGGGTTAAATGTAGGCCACAGGGCCTTCCAGTATGGCACAGGAAGGAGGCTTTACAGGAGGCCAAGCAGGGAAAGGTGGCAGGGAAACGAGCTCGGGGCACACTGCAGTGCAGGCATGACAACCAGAGCCCGAGGGGCAGCCCCTGGTGCTTTCGCCGGGCTGTGGGCGAGGCCTCAATTCAGCCAAGCGTGGGCTGTCACCCTGAGTCAATGCTCTTGACTTAAAGGTCACAGATGAGGAAGTTTTGCTGCATTTCATTTGTAAATTTGTTTTAGTTTTTATAGTTTAAAACACAGCGATCGATGCCCATCTTTAGGCTTGGTACTTGTTCAAGAACCACTGTAGTAAAAAAAACATGTTAAGGAAATACTGGAATAATGTTTTCCTATACACTACTCAAATTTGAGGGATGTTTTAGCTTCTTTTAATCATTTGCTGCCACGTATTTCCAGGTAACAGCATGTTCCAGATTCCATACACACACATTTCAGTGAATAATTTTTTTTTTGTCTGAATAAAGATTCAAATCAAAAACTATATTCACGGGGAGAAAAACCCTACGTTGGTGTCTGGAAGCCTCCCTACCATAAATACTGACGACGGCTTAACGTCCAACTTTGGAGTCAACACACCAGGTTGTATGTGGATCCTCTCATTTGTAATTTGTCTCATTTTGAGGATTTACAAGGAGCAAAGTGAAGGTCCTAGTAGAACACAATTCCATTTTATCATAGTTTTTTAACAAACAGAGTCACTTCGATAGTGTTTAGTCAATAACACTGCCCCACAACTAAATGTTACAATAAAAGCCAGACAATATAATATGGCAACTCTTTCCCCGATACTTCCTTGATTATGGAGTTACAGGCAAAAACACTCCAATAGATTTGAGGTTGCAAATCTAGCCTCGCATAATGATCAAATTCCACGTTGTGTTAAATAATACAGGAAACAAATGAATGTAACCATGAGCATCTAGTCCAGTGCTGGGTCCACGTCCACAATGTGGGGTACAGGAGGCAGGTGGGAAGGGGTAGATGCTACAGAGCCCCTGTGTGCTCCAGATGTACGGACCGTGCGCCAGGCACCTCAGGCACATATCCGTACACACACCCTGGGACATAAGCACTGCCTCCCTTTTCAGGGGAGAAGCCAGACTTGGAGACAGGAAGTAACAGTCGGAATTCACAGCTGGTGGGTGGGCGGCAGGGTTCTGACTCCAGGGCCCACTCTCTCTCCTCTTTGCTGAGCTGCCTCTACCACAGACAGGCAGCCCATAATTGTCTGCCAAAGCACCACTTCATTATGAAAGACACAAAAAAGCAAAAACTGACAATATTAAGAGTGAGATTCAGGCAAAAATGAAACTTAGTTTTACTAGTCAAGGACATACACTGGCTACGTACGACATTAAATTCAGTAACTGGTGTTTATAAATGAAGTTGACTTCATCTTATAAATGTCACTGTGAACAGTGTATCCCCTAAGAACGCAACTATGGGAAAATGGAAAGATTGACAGTTTTTATAGTTTTCCTAGAACTTGTTAAAATCTCCTTAAGAACAAAATTGATAAATATTCACTCATTTACTAAAAATTGATGACAAGAGCATAAGTAATAAGCGACATTTTGGGACAAAGACCTCACCTGGAAAGAACTGAAAGATTTGGGGAGCTCTGAGCATCAGAAGTTGCATAGTGGCATCATTCTTCCTATCTTAAATTCTATTCCACAGCACTACTCCTGCCTCCAAATCACTGATAAAGCAGCGGCGTAAACGTCAAAAGCAGCGTGACTTACTTTGGTTCTCCTATCTTGATGCCAGGATGCTGTGTGTAGGCATGGGAATGTGTGCTTGGGGCAGACTTAAACGCCATTGGACAAATAGGACACTTGTAGAAGACTTCACAGTGGGAACCTTGAATGTGAGACTTCAGGGCAGCCACATCAGAGTACACAACATTGCAATGCACACATCTGTTAGAAAAATAAACACAGAGTGGTTAGCACGAGACCATTAAACGTGTGTGACTTAACTGTGTTAAAAACTGGGTAAAATGAACACATCTTCATAGCCCTTTTAGGTTTCAAATAGCTTGTGGGAAGTAGGTTTTATTTTTTTTCTATTTAGATATGTAAGAAGGAAGATCATAAAGAAGAAAACTAAAACTCAAATGGTCTAATTTTAAGCATCTTTAAAGTTTCTGTGAATAAATGTCCAGACTCTAGGCTGTGGTGAGAACAATGGATTGTGGGAGCCATATCTAGGCCAGGAACACGGCAAGACCCTGTACCTCCTACATGCTGGAGTTCCTCCCCAGCCCCTCTACCCAAATGGCATTTTCAATGGAAGAAATCTGCACTATCTAACCCTACGTGCCATCAATGGAGGGGCACAGAGGAACAAGTGAGTGCTGGCTCCAAGGCCATGGCCTATTTCCTGGTACACACTGATGTGGTTAGTGTATCTGGAGATTATGGGGGCCCAATATGGAGAAGGTCAACCACCTGGATTGTTTGTCTCCTAGCAAACAAACTTAAGTACACTTGTATCTGTTTAAGAAGTGACATGAATTATAAACTTGTGAAAAATCAACCTCGCTAGATAAACTGCCTCTCTAGCTAACCTCTTCTTGACTTTCTAATGATTTAATTAGCTCGTTCGTTGTTCAAATCTAGTCCTACAGAAACAAACTGTACAACTTAGATACGTTTCTCCCCAACCTCATCTGTCTCACACCAGGACTCTCAGCAATACTTAGAGTACATCCATTTGATGACGTAGTCGTCCTTTGTTCACACCTGAAAACTACAGAGGGTGCCAAAAAAATGTATACATATTTCAAGAAAGGAAAAAAAGTGTATTAAAATTGTAATACTCAATGTATACCAATAACAAAAGATGAATACAAGTCACGTGTATACATTTTTTGGCACCCCCGGTATTTGAGGGTTGTCTCTCTGTAGGCTCTCAAGTCTATAGGGTAATACCTTTAATACACCTGACAGGTGTGTTCCTGGATGAGAACCTGGTGGGGGGGAAGGTGCAGACGGGGCCTGCCTTCAGGAGGCAGTGCTCAGAGATTTCGTTTGCCTTAATCTAAGGTACTTCTAGTCTTAGGACCTCCCTTCCAAATTCCTGGAAGTCAACAGGAGTGGTGTGCTCTGGATTACTGGGTTGTCAGAAAAGTCATGACGTATTTTTTCTATGTTTTTCGTTGCAAAAATGCGTCATGACTTTTCTGACAACCCAATATATGTGTTCTATGAAGCGTGCCATGTTAACCTTTGCAAGCATTTTATAAAAATCGTTAGTTAGCATTTTAAATGACTTAAGGCATAATGTTCAGCAGCATATACATTAAAAACATTACAAACAAAAGGAGAATAAGTAAGGAAAGCATCATTAGCCTAGCTACTATTATTTTAGGCAATAAAGCCACCCAAATATGTTGAAAGTATTTTGGGTTAACTTTAACTTCTGTTGCCTTGAACTGGTTATTACTGATCCTCTCTGGGCCAGTTTCTCATTTGTAAACTGAGAAGATCATTTTTTAGTCCTTCCCAACCCTAGAAGCCTGTGATTCCTATGGAAGAGAAAGAATACATAAAACAAAAATAGATGAGTTACTAATGAAACGGAAGTGTCCTCTACACGATGAATCAAGCAAAAGATGTTTTTTCCATCAAGGGTAGAAAGGTGATGTTCAAAGGGCAAAAGACCAAGGAAGGGCAAAAAGAAAGAAAGAGTTCATTCTCTGAAGTTGCCTGGATTGAGAAGAAGAGATAATCCTAAAGAAAATAAACAGGAAGTTGAAGAATCTATAGTTGATGAAGGAGGCAGTTAAGGCTTGGTCCAAATAGCATCAATGGAGGCCAAGGGAAAAACCTCCTTAATGTAAAGAAAGAAAGAAGAGAATTAAAAAGAACTAAGAAAAGAGAAAGTTGTAAAATATCCACCTACAAGTGGAAGAAAAGGTTCAAGGACAACGAGAGGCCAGCAGGGAACGTAAATAGACAAACAGAAGACAGAGTTTGAAAGGCTCACACAGTATCCTAATGCTACTAAAAATAAGTCTATTAATAAATATGTAATCTACCTCAAATCCTTTGTGTTCTGGGTACCCAATCAAGTTTCTCTTTATTTTTTAATTTAAGAAAATGTTTACAGCATACAATCTTCTAATTCTGCTTTCTAGATGCAGATCCAATTAATTGAGAAGCAGGAAAATTCAGATAAACACTTGACTTTTACCATATCAACCAGGAGCTAGACATGACCCCCTAAATGTTTGGGAGATGCAATATGATCAAGAAGAGAGAAAAAAATGGGGCATAGTGAATCCAGAAGAGACCATATAAGACATGGGAGCCGTGTCAGACTCATCTGCCTAAAAAAAAAAAAAAGAAAGAAAAAGAAAAACACTGGAGTGCCAAAAAGGAAGGGAAAACATACAAGGCCGAGGGGCTGCTAAGCCCCCATCAAATATTGGACTGGACCATTATTTGAAACAGCAAGAAAAAAACTAAGGTCAAATTATTTTCTCATCTAATGAACTAAACTTAAGAATATACAAACAGTATTTTGACAGCTCTTGTAAGCCTCATGTCCAGGGGTAAAAAAATCTATACTAAGCACAACAATTTTAGTAAAAAAGTCAAAATTCCAAATTTAAGCAACTCTATGAATTGGGGGGAAAAAAAAGAAAAAGAAAAGCAAGGGATGGGCTTTTCCAAATGAGCTAATTACTTTTAGCTGCCTGCGGAGCCTCTATTTTAATTTAGGAAAGCTACCAGGAACAGCTAGAATGATACAAGTCTAACTTCCTTTATTCATTCCAACCTAAGTTTACGTTCATTATACTAGAAAAATAGACTAAACGTCTGAGCTAAGTTTGGCAACCGTTAAGAGATCATCACTCAAAAAACAACAAAAAATTAAAACAAACAAAAACAAATTTTAAAAAAACTGAAGAAAAGAACATCACACAGGACATGTTGTGGAACTGCTTTCCATCATTAAACAAAGAATCCAGTACTGACAGTTTCAAAACATGGGGAAAGATTGAAAACATAACTGCGTATAGACTTTGTGTATGGACTCAAGGGCACCTTCAATGTGCACCTCCCCCCACAAGCACTTAGCATGCATTTCGATTGTCCTGTTTTACTCTCTGACATCCCAATGGAGACGGAGTTGAGCATCACACCAATTTTATAGACAGGGCCCCACGGCACAGAGAAAATGCATGAATTACCATGTAATTTGTGGTAGAACTGGTACCAAAAACTCTGGTTTCTTAACTTCCAAACCAAAGGTTTTCTGGCAGGGTAGACCCTAATCCATTAAACGTTTGTGCATCACAGGTTTGGAGGCATAAGATAAAAATGTGAAGCATGTCTCTCTTAATGTTAGAAAAATGGACATAGCCACCTAGGAATTGGTGATGCCAGAACCTAAATTTAACTGAAATAAAACTGGGAAATTATACCAACTGGACTTCATTTTTATAAAACATAACTGTATTACAACCAAAAAAATAATAATAATCCCTGTATATTAACAGTCTAACATTAAAGATACCAGGCAACCAAACCCTTAAGTTTAAGATAAACACACAATACAGTAATACCTCTATTAACAAAGATACTGTGTTAGCAATGACTGATTTTCTTGGTGGGCATTCATTGGGTCAAAATATAAAAGGCACAGGAAGGTCACACAGGGGAGGATAAGGTTCAAATACATCATCACTCAGTATTAGCTAAGCTAACATTAGACTTGGCAGATGTTGTAAAAGGTACATCTGAGCATCTTAAGGGGGCAGTGAAAGGGATCCTAGTTAAGATGTGTGGAGATAAGGGAGCAGCCTGAACTCAGGTAAAGGAGAAGGAATAAAGGAGCGTTATCTAGGGGGGAAGGCTCTTCCACAAACAGCAATGTTAGGAAAGAACACACACCCAGTCCTTCAACATGCCACAATAAAAATAAGGAACCACCGCACCCCTTCTGTTTTGATTAGAGGAGAGGAAGCATTAAGAGGGACAGAAGTGCATGGGATTGTTGCAGGGGTTAAAATGCAGAGAGCATGACAACAAAAGGATGCTAGAAAGGGTGCCGAAAGCAAAGGGTCTCACCGTCAGTGAAAGCCAGACCTTGCCACATGCACACTTGTGCCTGGAAGGAGGGGCCCCCTTTACCCTCAGCTTTGTGTGGGCCAGAGGGCCAAGGCCGCATTAAAAAAATTCCAACAGATCAACTCTACTGCAAACGAGCGTGGCTCCCAGAGGATCTGTTAATCGAGGTATCACTGTACCACCCTGCCCCCTATGTGCACAGGCCACGCCATACACTGGGCAGCTGTACGTGAATGAGCTTTACTGGCACGCAAGTGAACGATATACTGACCGATAACCAACTCTCCGCGTGTAGTGCAGACAGTTCTTGGTGACGTGGGTCTGGAAGTGCACCGACCTGCAGATGGCCCCGCACTCGGGGCAGGTGTAGGGAGATTTGTGCTGATGGATTCTCTGGTGTGATGCAAAGCTGCACTGGTTAGGAAGCAGCATCTGGCAGATAGTGCAAGTCTTCTAAACAAACCAAAGGGGGAGACAGGGTTGGTCCTACGAAGTACTTTCTCATACGCAAAGAAGCTTGGTTAAACCTCACAATCATTACACATCGGTCATTTCAAATAACGACGGTAATCGATGCTAAGCCCAAGGAACAGGTTAAATCTTGAAAGTTAAATGTACAATGTAAAATTCCTTACCCTGTAAAATATAAAAGTCGTATGTTCTAAGTAGTCAGGCTCATCCCCAAGTATAAGGTAAAGAGAATGTCGGCTTTAGGTGGAGCTCCAATTTTGTTACTTTTGCATTTTGTTTAGCATGAAGAAGAGGTATTCTTGCAAATTATGTAAGCAAATCAATGTTAATGTATAATTACAAGTTTATGGGCATCTATCGTGACAACAGTCACAATTCCCACAACTCAAAAACTTTCTTCAAAAGAATAAAAACTAACTAGAGGCTATTCCAGTATCTGTTATTTTTTAAGTCATTTCGGTTAAAATCTGAAATACAGGAAGTATAGAAGAATGGCCATAGCAATCTATTGTTATTTTTTGTGCATGAATTGATCTTTAGATGGATTAACTGGACATTATATGATTTATAATTAAAACCAATTAACTCAAGTTCAGATACATAAATTTTAGTCATTAAATGGAAACTCTATGTAGAGCTTAAAATCGAATCACATATAAAATAGAGGCTGAAATCTTCTTTGGAGAAGGCTCTACATAGTTGACTAACCAGGAAAAACTGAAATACACTATTTTTCATCCCTTTAGATATAAGCACTAAACATGGCATCTTTTTAAAACATAAAAAAAGAAAGCTTAAAGCAAATATAAACTGAATACTGACTACTTCCATTCCAAAAACAAACCTAACATAGCACAGGATAAAATGTGTTTGAATACTATTTGGATATTCACACAAGTGTCTACTGTGTTCTAAAATGTACAATTTGTATTAAAGTCTGTTGAAGAAAGCCTAAAGATATAGACTCTAGATAAGATTTAAAATGATCTTTGATATTGACAACAGAATGGTGACATTTTTAAAAGACTTTATTTTTGTAGCTTTTGAATCAAGCCCCAAAATTAAGGTTTAAACTTCTGAGCAACTTAGACTAAGAAAAATCAGAAACTCACTTGCAATTTCTTTCTTGGTTTTCTCCTGAAAGAACTAAAGTACAAATTTTATCCCACAAAATGTTTATTATAATCACAAAAGAAGAACATTACAGGCAACTTTGACGAGGTTAGCATCATTAGAAAATAGCATTCCTTTTCTAATAACAATATTCCAAAGGTTAAAACAAACCACAGCAAAGAAAACCAATCAACGGATTCATTAATTATAAGATCCTGTTGACATCTACCTTATCACAGGTAATCATTTATTTCTCTGGACTCAAGTTTTCTATCTACTCCCACCACAGGCAGTGAATCATAATGTCTGAATTTCCACAGGCATCTTAGAATGTCTTGCACTTACTTAGGAATAAAATCAATATATTCTATACTAAATTCAAAACACATTTTAGAAAAGATACTGAACCCATTCCACCATAAGCCAAGTGATGTACTCACTGCTTTAAATAAATACATTCAAATACAGCATCTCATGTAATTCTCATAATCATCTATGAAGTAGGTAATATTATGTCCATTTTACAGATGAGGAAATGAAGTTCGGAGTAGTTAAGAAACTCGCCACGGCCCCACAGCTATTAAACGTTAAGAACCAGGGTTTGAACTGGGCTCTGACTACTTCCAAGGCCTGTGCTGGAATGCTTGTGACGAGTGGCGTGGGGGTTACAAGGAATGAACAGACAAATACACACAGGAAAACTGTTAGCAAACACACCTGAATACCAATGGTGACCATTATATGTTAGGAATATAGGTGATACCCCTCCCTCCATAGCTTCTATTTTATGTAAAACAATGTGGTTATACTATTTTTACAATAGGGGAAAACAGTAACGAAAATAGAAAATCTACAAAGGAAACAAAGTATATGTCCCGTAAAAGCTGAAAAAAATTTCCACATTCTCTCTCAAGATACGTTAACAAACATCATTCATAATACAGAGAAACTCAATAACGAATTGCTTAAATACTCTTCCTATTGGACGTTTATGTTTATAATACAATATAACTATATAAATTGTGATGGATGTGTTGGTGGATGAAAAGGCTTTGTTTCTAACAAGTTAACAACAAAATAAGTCTCCAGTTATTCAATTAAAAATAGGTTTTATAAATTAAAGGTTCTTTACAACAGAAATTACTGGCTGCAGAGCCTATGAAAATGTTTTAGAGTAACAGGGTCACCTAAACACCAACACTGCAATACCAACCTCTCGCGCACCAGTTCTTAGAGAGGGAAGTGTTCCCTTCCAGATGCACTGTGTGTTGGGGAGGGTCCCCTGGGTCCCCTGGGGCTCGGTGAGTGCCGCTGGCAGCCATTCTAGCACCACCACCACCAGCCCAACCAGCTATAGGAATATGCATTCCTCCCTGTCCACTGAGAGGCTCCTCGTACAAGGAGAAAGTGGGGGTCAGTATGGACTACAGCCCCAAATCAAGGTGCTTTCATATTCTGCACAGACTGAAATGGGAGAATTCAGTCACTGGGGAATCCGGTTGGATACAGACCTTATCTTCAGTTTATACATAGAGATGCGTATGTATGTATCCACAGATGCTGTATTTACTCCCACATCTCTCTGTTTACCTGCTTCCACTCTTCGCCTCCACTCCATTTTGAGAAAAGGCATGCTGTTTGGGTTGTAGGCATCTTCCTCCTTGATGCTTGTGTGATACCAACAGTTTTAAACTTGCACTAGTACAGTTTACCTAACTGTACTCTCTAGAGTTTTATCGCTGGACCTGTTTTAGATAATGCTGTTATCCCTGCTTCCTGATATAGTGGTGATGCAAAGGGGTCTATCCTATGAGCTTCTCTGGGGTCCTTTGCATTTGTGGCCAGGACACTCATTCTCTGAATTTAGGGGACGTATTAGAGCAGAGGCGCAGACTTTCTTTCCTTTTCTTTAATCAAAGGAACTACAATGTATTTTAAAACTAGCTCTGTATGAGTTGAGGCTATTTACAAGAGGAAAAAGCAATTTCACGTGACAGTGCCTGCCTTCTGCCTAGAAAAAAGTATAAAAAAACGCACTTAAATGGTTTCATGTGTCTTCTGACATTTTACTTATATCATCTGAATACGGATAAACATTTTCAGTCCTTAGGTAATAAACAGCTAACTTATACTGTGGGGCAGACTCATTTGCTCAGAGAACTGTTACTTTTTAAAGTAAGATACTACTTTTCAAAAGTCAGGTAACAGAGAAGGCTATAGAAAAACCAGAGCTGGAAAGTAATCAAGTTCCATCCTTGACAACTAGTCACACTGCGCCTTCTCTGGCCAACCCGGGCCCTCACATCCATGGCTGGCAAGACATACAGGCTGCGGGGGAGAAGGACCGGGGCACAATACGGCCCTATTAGGGACTCAGAGATGCCTGAGTAACTTGGAAGACAAGTCTCTGTGTTGCAATTGATATTTTAGAGAGGAAAACCACATAGAAAGGTACAAGGAAGGGGCAAAGTGAGAAAGGATAGAGATATGTGAGTAAATTCAGCATATATTTATGCTTAAATTTCAAAGAGATCAAAAGCCTGCGACAGCCTGAAACATCTAAAGGTCAAAGCACTGCCAACTTCACAGCCCAGACGCCATGCACGCTGTTTCTGCCTTATTAACAGCAGTTTCATAATCTTCTGTCCACATATAATCACCAAAAGTAGTCATAATAAAGTATACCAGTTTGTTTTCTAGCTTTCACTTTCACACAATAACACAATGAGAACACAGTGAAAGCTTTTCATTTCAGATCTCCCTTAAATGACAATAACACAAAACAAGAATTGCAGCAGAAATGACTATATATGCCTTTTCTCCCAAAGCTAGCTGGTTGTGGTGGTTTCGTCTTCAAATCATTGTGCTATACTAAAATCCTCTAATAAGAGATGATAGTTCAATGAGCAAGAGTTCAAACAGCGGTATGGTTGACACCCATCATCCACTCATCCACTCAGGTGATAATCACTGGAGAATATAGGTACACTAAGGGTTGATGACACTGAAACAAAAACTGGGACAGGACTAGTCTAACCAAAATGAGTAACAAGCACTTAGGAGGGCAGGACCAAACACCGGAAGTCGTGAATCTTCAGATAATGATGATATTTCTGGCAGGTGAGGGGACTGAGGTGGGCTCCACGGTTTCCAGGAGAAGCTGCCTGAGCAGAGTTTGTCTAGAAATGAGAGCTGGCTGGGCTGCTCAAGACAATGTTATGTTAATGATGCCCAGAAAGTTCCTGCAACTAAACCGAATCAGCAATCTCTGAAAATGAGGACCGCTGAAGATAAGTCACCTTGAAGCTGAGATGGACGCAACCCAAGAGTCCATTCTCATGATTCCCAGAGTCCTGCACCTGTAAAAAGCTATGCGTCTGTACCCATAGGTAATCAGCATGGCCAAGGGGAAAGAATAATGAACTAGTAATAAAGAAATCTTGTCGTGAGTCCCGATTTTGCCACTAACTGGGCATTTGTTTCTTCAAGTGTAAAACAAAAGGGCTGACCAAAGGACGTATACCGGCCTCTGATTCTGTGGCTGATGTAGAATTCTACAGGAAGAAAGCTAATTTCACCAATTAAGAGGTCACAGTGCGCATCTCCAGTCTGTACTTGCCTAAATGCAGTCATGGTTTTACAGGGAGGTGAAGCAACGACATTCCAATACACTGAAATATCAACTATTAAAGCTACAGTTGTCAGCTCCTAAATACTTCATGGAGAAGACAAAAGTGTCTCTCGCCCCTCCACCCACTCCTTTCCTCACTGTGCCCCAAAGCAGGGATTATTAATCAGGCAGGTAGGAATACAAACCCCAACCTGGGCAGACGGACTGGTGTCCAAAGTCAAGTGTCCATGTGCTCCCT